TTAAAATGCAATTCCTCTTTCTGATTCCTCAACCTTTGGGGGTAAGGAACATAAGGAGGGATTGGTTTTATCACATTCTTGCTTGGAGGTGTTGAGCAAGATGAGTCTTGAATGCCCTGAGTCTTTGTGGTGCTCTTTGGACTTTCAGATGGAGTCTTAGCATCAAATTTAGGAGTCTCTACTACCTTAGTTCCTTTAGACTTCTTCAGAGTTTCCTCTGGAAAAAGTAAAGGGAAGTATGATCTAGGGGGAACAAGAGTGGTGGTCTCAGATGTTTGCTTTTCTAGAGGTGGGACTGGTCCTTCTTTGGCAGGGACCAATGCTGTAGCATCAGTTTTTGACAAAATTGGTTTACAATCTTTTTGCATGGCCTCTATCAATTCCTTCCCACTTCTCAAGGTCACTGCTTTCACATGTTCCTTTCCTAAGGCTCTCGGGACTTCTATGTTACTAGGCAAAGTACCAAGGACTCTATTGGTCTGATTGAGTGCAAGTTGACTGACTTGGGTTTCTAGATTTCTGATAGCAGCACTTTGTTGATTAAAAAGAGATTGATTTTGATAGTTTTGTTGGGTTATCAAAGCTTGATTTTGAGCTTGAGCATGTGCAAATAACCCTTTTATCATTGCTTCCAAAGAAGATGATAAATCAGCMTGTGGAGGTGGCTTGTTTTGAAAAGGTGGTTGGGAATTCTAAAAACTTTGTTGGTGAGAGTTAGAACTGTTTCCATGATGTTGTGGTTGGAAATTAGAAGTTCCTTGTTGCTTATGGACTGGTGGATTAAGGYTGGGACTGGTCCAAGAAAAGTTCGGGTGCTGTTTCCAACTTGCATTGTAATTGTTGGTATAGGGACCAGATCCATTATGAACAAAGTTTATGGATTCAGAATTATGAGGACAATGTTCATACGAGTGTTCCCCACCACAGCATACACATTGCACAGAGAGGACTGTTGGAACAGATGTGTTAGCAGCTTGCTGTACTCCTTGACCAGAAGTTAAAATTTTCAATAAATTGGTCATGGAGGTGAGTTGAGCTGTTAATGCAGTATAATGCAGTATATGCATCCACCTCATGTATTCCAGCAGTCTTTTTCTGTAGCTGGGCACGTGGGTCAGCCTAATGCCCATTGTTTGCTGATATCTTTTCTAGGATCTCATATCCCTCATTATAGGTACTGGCTGTAAAGGCTCCGCCTGCAGTCGCATCGAGCATTTGTTTTGCCATGGGACTTAACCCATTGTAAAACGTCTCAAGTTGAATACAGTACGAAATGCCATGGTGTGGGCATTTCCTTAACAGCTCTTTAAACCTTTCCCACGCATCAGGAACAGCTTCATCATCGAGTTGTTTAAAAAGATAGATTTCGTTTCTGGACTTAGCGTTCCTTGTAGGTGGGAAATATTTTCGCAAAAACTTTTCCGCCATGTTACTTCAAGACGGCACAGATCCCGGTGTTAAAGAGTTAAACCATGCTTTTGCCCGATCCCGTAATGAAAATGGAAATAAAGTGAGTCTGAGAGCGTCATTGGACACTCCCGGGATCAGGAAGGCATCTATGATTTCCATAAAAGACTTTAAGTGAGAATGTGGGTCCTTTGAGGGCAGTCCAGCAAATTGGCCATTAGTCTGTAACATGTGAAACATTATCGGTTTTAGCTCGAAATGGAGAGCGGTCATATGTGGTCTAACTATCCCATAATTTAATTGCTCAAAATCCGGGATAGCATAATCCATGATCCGTCCATTTTTGGAATTTGCCAGATTAATGATATTTGGAGTTTGTGCCCTTTGTTGCTCAGTAGGGTCTGACTCAGTGTCCAAATTATTATCATTATCATGATGTGGGTTTCCTTGGTGAAAATTTGGGAACGGTGGTATTTGCCCAAAAATTTGCGGTTGGTTTTTCAAATATGGCACTTCCGGAATGATGGGAGCAGGTAACTCCATGTTGGGAGGGAGTAGAGTCTGAAATGCACTTTGAGCCCTCCTTCTATGGTGAAACGTTATCTCAATATCTGGATCAAATTCGAAAAATTCCCCGCTATGTGTTCTTGGCATACACCACTTTTCAAAAACAGGTACTAGAAAAATCAAATCTTTTACTTCACTCAAAAGAAAACTTTAAGCTTGCCTATACCTGGCAACGACGCCAAAAACATGGTCGGTCAAATCCTTTACCTTTAGACTTAATGAAATTGGGCCACAAAGCAAGTATACAATA